ATCAGCAGCATCCATTAATAGCACATGAGCATCACCACACAATTCCTGAATGTGGACTTACAACCACAACTTTAGGAGCAGTTGCTACACAACATTGTACAAAACAACAGCTAATCCATGTCTAGATACAAATGGTGCAGTCTTGGCAATGTGGCAGGGATGGGATAGAGTAGCTCACATAGGGCTACTAAAAGGCTAGAAATATTTTCTAATGAACCAGGTGATGATTAGCACATATACAAAGTCATATTTCAACAGCCACCTCACCTTACAAAAATAAAGCAAGAGTAGAGGAGTGGATTCAGACTCTGGATGTCTGTAAGACCCAGCCCTGCCTCTCCAGACCATCAGCACAGAAAGTGCCCCAGAGCACTGAACCTAGCCTTAGAGACTAACTCACCCATGACTCACTGGACCTATGCCCTTCCTTCACCACAATCAGGGTATCACTTGTCATACAGCCCATTCTATTACTTGAAATGTAAGATACTTATCTTCATATTTTACTTGTATGTGTAGCCCATTTCTCAAGAGATTTCTGTTTTATGTTTCAAGAGACTTAGCTAAGTACCTCCCATTCCTACTTGTTTCTAAGTAACTGTGTTGGTGCTTTCTGCAATGTTCTCCCTCAGAGGGAGGAAGCCCCCATAAATAACTATATGGCAATTTATTATTCTCCAAGTCTACCTTTATCCTCTCCTTTCACTTGAAGCCTTCAAAAACTTCAGTAACATATTGCTAATAATATCCTCAGCTTCCATATAGTGTACTACTGAATACAGTTTCCAACTGTGTATCTTGGTTTGTCTCTTGTGTCAGAGGGTAAGTTCTGCAGAACAAGACACACCTCTTTGGTGTATTCTTGTAGTTGGTATGTCTGAAACACTACTTGACTATAATTGTTAATAACAGAAATAGTATGTAGTAATAGTGGTATGAAGAGGAGGGAGCATAGTGCCAGTTTTCCAAACCAGAAATGCAGGAAATGATTCAATATTTGGAGGTCAATACTACCTTTGTCATAATTTAAACAAACAAAAAAAGACAAACCAGGAAAGAAAACATGTGAACTGGCATATAACCACAGCTTTGTGTACTTATTTTAATTTTAATCTATAATCCTGACTGAGGTTCTAGCATGTTTACACTGTCTTTATTGGTGTCCTCCAGCTCAATATCTACCATCATTCAAATAAATCCAAAAGATAACAAGTGGATGAAAAGGAGGAGTTCTGTATTCCATCTCAGTGCAGTAGATTGTTTTTTTTTTAATTATTTTTCAGTCAGAGTGTGTATGATTTTATTTCCCAAAAATAGTAACTTATAAAATTATGCCTAAAGCTCAGCCCATACCACCAGCACAAAGCCTACATTGTTGATAGGTATTAGTTTAGTCCATGCGGATAATAAGACAAACTTTATTATATAGGAAAAATTGTCACTTCCAAATTCCAGTTTATTACAAGTTTTTTTGTTCCAAAGGGCAGGAAGGGTATCCCTGGCATAAGCAATATATCCCATTCCTGAAATTTAGAACACACTTTTTTTAAGCAGTGTATCACCCTGTGTGACTGAAAACCTGAAAAGAGATTAGGGTTGCTAGGCCTCTAACAAGTGCCTTCCAAACTACCATACCCAAAAGTAGCTCAGATCCAGAAAATGTAAAACTAACCTACTATCAATCCATTGAAAACTCGACTCAACAAGCAAGAGTTTAGGAGAAGAATGCAAAACCAGTGCATAACTTACTCATGATAGAAAGGCCTTTCATAATTTATTACAGCAGGTCGTTCACCAGATTCTTTTATCTGTTTGTCGATAACAAGAACAGCAACAATTGACTGACTTTGAGAGATGACTGGCAATAGGGATGCCATGTGGCAACAAAGGAGGATTCAAAATCTGAGCAGCAATTGATGGAGAAGGGAGAATAATCTGAAAACCAGAGGTGCATAAAGAGAGGTGCATGGCATCAAAAATTATTGAGAACTAGAACTGAAGGGGACAATGGAAAAGCAGACGATTCTAGACTATTTTTGCTATGGCACAGAGGAGGAACAATAGATGGCTTTCACAGTGAAACATTTGAGCAATAAAATAACGAGTTTGCCTAGAAGGGAAACCCTTTCAACATGGGCCATAATATCTTCTAATTTGCCTGGCCTGAATTATGAGAACATATTTTTGGCCTGGCCTATACCACAAAATATGAGTAGGATTAAGAGCATTCAAAGTAGCTGACAAGATGCTGAAGCAGAAGAGAACCTTCCCACAGAGACTAGAAAGTTGGGGTCAGCACTGGATTAGCTGACATACAGACTGCACCTTGTGTTCCAGAGGCTTAATCACTTCACTTAAACCTATCAGCATGCAAAGGTAGCAATAGAAAAATTATAGCTTGATTTGGCAACTATGTGACAAGGAATGACTTAGTAACATTTCTTGCTTCTTTCCCATGTATGAAGTTTTCAGAGATCACCTTCTTCCTACTTATTTGTTTCCAACTAGATAAGAATTTCTGTAGTCAGAATTGTTACAGTTATAACAGTTTAGTAGTAAGGACTAGTTTTTCAAATGTAGGAGCCTAGATACTTATACATCTACAGATAGAAAGGATATGGATCCAATCCTCCTTCTGAAACCAACACTGGCCTATCAAGTTCTACAAGAGACGAAGCAAATACTGACACGGAAAAGAACTGATCTAACTCAGAATTACAGTACTACTAGAAGTTGGGGGTTTTTTTTATTAAATACCACGTGCACTAAAATACCAAGAAATTTTAAACTGCTTTACATTTGATGAGGAGAGGGAAGTAGTTGCTGGGTATGGTTTTTTTTTAAAATCTACACTTTCCTTCAGGTTTTCACATGTTCTTGCATAAACATTTCCTGGCTCAATATTGTGTTTGCTCACATCACAGTTCTTCCACAGACGCATTTACTTCCTGCTGCAAAGAAGGGGGAGGGAGGGCAGTGTGCAGTGTAGCACCATTTATCCTTTTCAGACAAGGTTTGATTTAGAAAAGAACCAGCCGCAACTTGCTGGGTACCAGAAGCCAAATAAGTTATTTTGCTGTTTGATTATCCACATCATTCAAAACCTGTGTCAGTGGCAATTGGCTTGTTTCCTGTCATGCTGGGACCTGGGTTGCACAACAAGTTTGTCTTGCAGAGAAATGAAAGGTGTCTGGAGTTGAAGGCTCCTGGAACTGTTAGTTTTTAAAAATTTTGTCTTGGACTGAGCACCTTAACTCCTCCCTGTTCTCTAGCACAGCAGCTAAAATGAAGCCATCCTCCTGGAGCCTGTACAGCCAGAAGCTCCCTAGGGACCCCCACACCCTTCCTCTCACATTAATGGGCAGCTAACTAATAGAGTAAAAGAAATAAATTAGCAAAAATCTTATTCTAGGAATAAAACAATCCTTATGTCAAGGAAGAAGACAATCCCAAAGAGGAATTTAAACAGAACGATGTATGAGCTTTACAATTCATTGTACGAAAGAAAGCCTGTGTAAGGTACTGCATAAAAGAAAATGAGAAAATGGTTTTAAACAAAATAGAAAGTCTCCAAGGCTTGCACCACTAATGGAACTGAGAGGAGGAATGAAAAATGCTAGCGTTATCTCTGACTCAGGAAGTCCCAAAACCATGATTCAGTAGAAGGTAGGAGCATACACCAAGAAGGGATCATTACGTGCTTGACATTTTCTTATACGCTCCCCCAGGCTGCTGTCAGAAACAGGATACCCGACTAGACAGATGTTTAGTCTGATCCTGCATGACTGTTCTTAGTTTGTGATAGTAAGACCATAAATGTGGATAGGAAGAAAGTTATGTGCAACTCAGGGATCACATGAAACTCCAAGTTGATGCAGGCACAGCAGCCAACAGTGAGGACTGGACCCAAACTGAGGCGTGTCGGCTTTGAGCAAATTCTGACCACTACGGACTTCACTCCGGGGAGAAGTTCATACTGCCTAAAATCCTTCTCATACATTTCAGGACTTGTCTTTAGGACATATGGCACCTTTGGAGTCAAACCACTTCCCCTACCCTCCTCTGGTTCTTCAGTTACATATTTCATTCTTTAAAAAAAAAAAAAAGTCTCTTTGCTCTCTTGTCTCTGAATTAATACCTGTTATCATGCTAATGCCAATGTGGACATTTTCTGCACTGCATTGTCTAGTTCTTTGCAAGAAAACAAATCTCTCCAATGCCACCAGTCCTTCTCATATGCAAGTCAGAACCTATTCAAAAAGTACAGTGTCCCTTATCCTGCCACCAAGTATTTGGGAGCTAAAGCAGACACACAGAGAGATTTTGCAATATAATAACAATGTCACGAGGTCAACCATAATTTCTAAGTTGTACATAGAATGGCCCAAATCATCACAGTTCAAACATAGCTGGAACAATTCCTGGTCAGGAAGGGTTTTACTTCTGACTTTAGCATAGACTACAGTCTATACTAGAAATTTTCTTTCACAAGAAATTTTCTTTCAGCACAGCCTTCAGAAAGACTACCTTTTCTTCCTCCTAGCAATTTTAATTCATGCTCTTTCAGGCAGGTTTGCTAAAGAGACTGTATACAGAAAATATTACACAACAGTTGCAGCAGATAGCCTACACAGCAGTTCATTTGCTGTAACAAATTGCACAGAGCATGCCACACACCAATACTCCATATTCTCTTCTGGGTCACTGAATTGATTCTGGTTCAAATTCCTGACAAACCATTTCATATGTAAAGCCGCTAAAGGACCAGAACTATTTGCTTGTGCTAGCTCAGACTAGCCTCTACTCTAGGAGACAGGGTAGCCTGCAAGGCAACGCACAACACGGATGCAAGCCCACTCAGACATTTCTTGGATGACTAGCCACTATGATGTTATGTAAAAGGGAGCTGCTCCATCTTTTTCCCAGCAGTAGCTGCTGTCACCGCATTTTTTTAGGAGATGATGCTGTCCAAGGATATTGTGTGTTCAGGGAACATTTACCAGATCAGCTGTCCCAGGTAACTCTGACCCCATAACATCTGCTTCCTGGATCCTTGTCAAGCTTAAGGAGCAGGGCAAAGACCTCTGCTAAAACAGGACTGTTTTGGACCTCAGCTGCCAGGCACCGTGGAATGGTAAAGTTGCTCGTGGAGCTTAGGTGTCGCCAGGGCTAGACTGCAATTAAGGAGGCACTCTTAGGGCCACAGTTTTGGACTTAAATAGCTTACTCTTCCAAATCTCATTCTAGGTAAAAAAAGGGGTGACTTCAGTGATACATTTCTCTCAAGAGTACTGTACAGTCTACAAATGTATTCCTCAACTGACTGAAAAAATTACTTACTGGTTGTGTGCACCATAGCCTGATCCCTAAGATGAGTGTTCAGGATATATAGATAATACATGAAAGAGTTATAATCAAATGATTTTCACTATGGAGGTAATCACCTCACTTAATTTCAGTCATCTTATAAAAAGCAGTGTCTCTTTCATAATGGGAGGGTGATTTGGTGACAGTACCAGCCTTAAGCAGCAACTTCTACAAGGTCAGACCTGCCACTTGAAGAATAAAAGTTCAAAACAGGTGGGACAACTGGTCAGAAAGCAATATTTTCTCTCTGTTCTAACAACAGATGAAGAAGCATAGACAACTAGATTAAATTGGAGAGCAAGATACACTTGTTTGTGTTATAGTAATGTCATCTTGCACCAGAAAAAACAGGACACATGTGAAAGGATTTTTTTAAAGCTAATGCCCTTTAAACTACATTGGCATATATTTTTTAGTTAGGAGCTATAAACTTTTTCTGCTCTAGGATTATTGCAGACTGGAGACTTGTACAACAGGCCAGGTACACCAGATAAGAGTCACACTATACTAAGAAAAAGAGAAGTTCTCAAAACAGCAATGCAATTGTTTAATTTACCTTACCTTACCTTACACTGTCCACCAGAGTAACATTAGTTCTTATTGCTAAGTAAAAATATATGAGTGCCTATGTAAAGAGAGATACAGAGATGAATATTCTGTTAATTTACAAGGTTAAAGATCTTTCATCAATCTTTACATATTAAGGAGTATTTATCATTTCTATCATAATGCCCATTCCAGTCATAACATTGTGCTCTTATGGAAGACCACAATTAATCTGTTACCTCCCCAAATAATATTTCAGTGACTTTATTTAAGACCCCTTCCACATCAATAGTTCCCTATGACTGAACCTGTGTTTCAACAGGAAAAACTTTACTGGAGGAGGAAAAAGAAGGTAATTCCCATTAAATCTGTGATGCTTAACAGTGATACTGAGCAGCAACTTTTTTATGCTGTCTGACACCAGATGAGAAATCACTTTCTAATTAAATGGAGAAGTAGCATATATATGAGCACTCAGAGCCAGTTTTTGAGCGTGGAAGTAATAGCATCATTTTGCAGGGTAAGCCTGTTCTGCTTCTTTAAAAGAAGACACTAAAAAAAATATGACCTTGGAAAGATTTCCTATGTATGGCATAGAGAAACTTATTCCCAAGACGCCACAGCTCCTAAGTGTTTCAAAAACAGGCACAGAAGAATGAAAAAACAGACAGGTGACAATAATGGCATGAGCAAAATACCTTATGCCTCACTCAAGTATTTTATATTCAAGGCACAAGTTACAACTCATAAATTTCATTAAATCTACCTAATTTATACCAGAATCCACTGTCTCTTTGTATTTCAAGGGAATAGAAATGCACGAGAGATTGTGGACAAAACTGATATTTCTTGTGGGAATAAAATCCAAACAGAAAAAGAGAGAGACTTAGGCTTAATCTTCCTTATTATTTGATAAAAAAGCATTTTCTGAGTAAAGGTACAAGTTATTTGTGGTTTTGATCACTCCAGTATGCTGTTCCATACCTAAGAGTAAAAAATGTTTCAAATATTTAACAAATCAGGGCTAATTATACAGAATAATTGAATCCTTAATATAAAGCCTGAGAGACTTTATTCTTCTAACGTTACTTGCTGCTGATGTGAATACCATGAGAAAAGATAAAGCTACAGACCTGTTAATACAAAGAAGACAGTTAAAAATTACTTTCAGTTTTGAGAAAAACACTAGACTCTGAATATAAGCTAATTATTAAAGTTCAATTCCCTTTTCCCCCCCCAAAAAAAGTTATTTTAATTACTGCTTTTTTATGCCAAGTGTCTGCTTTATTTAAGAGAAGAAATTACTTTCTATTTGAAGCAGTGCCTACTAGAAATAAGAGTTACTCAAGGGCAGTGTTTTATTGATAAAGCTTTTTCTTTATAATCATCATATGTCATAACATTTCACAGGATTCATGAGGTTCACATTTTTTCAAAGGCAGAAACAACTGAAAGTTCTGATCTGGGCCTAACAAAAAAACCCGAAGCACTGTCTAAAGTTGGAATCATTTTTGCATTTTAAACCCTAGATACAGCAAAAGTCAGGGCTTCATAAAAGTAGGAGAGGTTATTTGTTACCGTAAGAGCTACCATTTTTAAACTGTTATGAGTATTTGCATACATTTGCATGCACTGAAAGCACAGCCATTCAGAACAAACAGCACAGCCATTCAGAACAAACAAGGTTCATTATGAAGACAAACATGCTGAGTATGACTGAGTGACAATCTACACAATAGCTGATTTAAACTTTACATTCACCGACCATTTTTCTGAGGAGGAGGAACAGCTAAGGATGCCTTACATCTCTTTGGCCATTTTTTATTTTTGATAAACCCTGGGGCTGCCTCTGTTAAGGTGAGAGAATACACTGAGGAGTCCGTTCAGTCTGTCGAAACCCCCAATATGGTCTTTGACTTCTAGCAGGCAAGCTTAAATGAATCTCTCTCAACTAGTGGAATAGGTAGGAAAACTGGTTTAGCAAAAAGACATACACAGTTCTCTTAAACAGTTCAACTTTAAGGCATGTCTGCATGCATTCCTACTGCCTGTGACAATAGTAACACTTCCTTTCAGCCTAATAGGTCCTGAGCCCCATCCTTTGTCTGCTGATTAACTGCTCTATTCATTGACCAGACCACTAATTGCATGCTCCTTATAGTTACCCTACATTACTGTAAGAATTAATGAGACACAATTACAGCTCCCAGAAATCTCAGGCCTAGCCAACTGCAAAGCACTCCAGCTGAATAAGAACTCCCCAAGAATAAAGAGAAAAATTCAGCCCATTGTTCACAGGAAGCAGAATGTTTTTTGTTAAAAAATTGTATTTATTTGAAGCTGTTTCATAATTAGGCCCTGGAGGAAAAAAAAAAAAAAAGGAAGAATAGAGAAAGAACTCGGGAACTAGCATTCACTGAGAAATCACAGCGGATGCAAATAGACATGCACACAGTTCAGATATGAAGAGAAAAAACATAAGGATGGAGTGCATGAAAAATTAGTGCTGTGAATGCTACAAATATCTATAACCAATCAGCTGCTTAAACAGAGCATGTCCCACTGTATGGGAATTGCCACTAATGCAACCTTTTATTTGATAGCTTCAGTCTTGAACAATTTAAAATAAGCATATGGCATGCTTTGCAATCATGTCTCTACTATGAGATGGAAGAAGAGGAATTTAATTTCCCACTCCCAGAATTTAATATGCATTAGAAGTCAGTGTCATTAGCCATGAAAGTCAAAATGAAGGACAGAAAATGAGTTTTTTGAAAATCAGCCATATTGAAAACTGCACTCACATTTAATCTGTGTAATCAACAGCCACAGCTATTCAGTCTCAGTGACTACAATCACTACCTATTAGCCTGTAAGTAGTTCAAAAGCTATTATTCTCACTTGAACAATTTTCCAATACACAAGAGACAGCATTAAGTTAATGAAGTTAATATGCAAAGTCAATATTCTGTGTTATGAAGTCATCTTATTCCACTGGTTCCTCTTCAACATATTTTCACCATATAAATTCCATTTAAATTACATGTATAGTTTGACAAAGCCACTGATACTCAAAATAGAGCTTGAAATGCAGCACTGTACTTTCTAGTCCTGGTAATCATTTTCCAGGGCACAATTTATAGCAGCCACTGAGACCCCAAACTACGCATGTCAGACTGGCACTGCTACATTCCCGAATCAACATCTTTGGACAGAGACAACATTTTTTGTGCGACTCTACAGGGATTCTCAATAATTGCACCTAACTGCGGTAATAGTTTAAATTCATGGAAAATGGATGTTCTTCTGATACTATCGCTCACTGATATCACAGCAGAACGCTTTCCTGCATGAAGCAGTTACCACCATGTGGTGCTGAATCCCAAGCAGGAAACAAGGCACGAATATGGATCAGAGACCTTTGTGTTCAGTGTATAATAAGTCCAATATCCCTGTCATAGAACAGCAATCATTAACTCGGGGATCTTTTGTTAAATGGCCCCTGTGGCTGGACTGGTAACAGCAGGGATCAAATTTGCAATCCTCGAGACTAGATTCATCTGTCAGGGAGGCTGCAAGCCTACAAATTCATGCGTTTCCAAAGTAAGTCTCTAGGACTTGAAGTGAAAATACCAATTTCAATCAACCTTGGCTGATTAATCAACCTCAGTGTATGACCACAGAGCTTACATACACAGCTTTGGCTCTGGCAGTATTATTTGAAATGGGCTTTCCACATGTCTTGAAAAAACCTTTGAGGAAAAAGGAAACCTTTGTCTCAAATAAAACATCAGCTAGCTTCTTCATGCTGTTCCTGTTTCAAGCCCAAAAATAGAACAAGTCTGAATTCCTGCAGAGTATGATGTGAAATTATTTCTGCTAGTGCAAATGATGCATTCAGGTATCTGGTCCAGCCATCATTTCATATGTTATGAAATAACTTGAACTAATACAAAATATGTATATGCTCGAGGCTAGATGTAATTTCTAGTTGGGCGTCTCTCTCTCCCATAAAAGAAAAGGGAGTCCTTCCTGCAGACAAACACTAAGACCCCACTTTTTAGGTCATCAATTCCAAGTAGGGTAGAATTTCTAGATGAAAGATAATTAGAGGCATACAGGAATTGCTTTGTAAGAGACAAGGGAAGGTTTCAAGTCATAACTTGAGTTCACTCCCACCATTTCTACTCTCCTGTTCCACTACCGATTTCTTCAGAACTACTTCTGTTTTATTGTGCTGCATGTAGCACCAGCAAAGGACAATCCTGATCCACCAAGTGTTTCTATGTGCTTATTCTTCCTGGAACTGATTCACCCAAGGAAGGGTGTAGTACTCCGCAGCCTTTAGTTTGTGAGTTGCACATCACAAGCTTCACTGCTAGGAAGTTTCCTTCCCTCCTTTTCATTGCTATATCTACATCCAGCCTCCCTTCTTCTTGCAAGTAGTTCAGTTAGTTAAACAATGGTCCTCTCTGTACTGTTTCCTAAGTGTGGCCCCAAAACTATCTTCAAGACTAAAACTACCAACAGGACAGGTGCTAAACATGAAAATTCATGCATTTTCAGGCATTATTCATGCAACTTGCAGCTGTAAGACAATTCTGTAGACAGAAGATGAATAGGAGACAGTGACACATACTATTCTTAGAGTTGCTCTGGAGGTCATTCTTTGGAGTGACATAAGCATAAGCTATGATATATCATCTCTATGTGCAGTGATATGAGTTGCATATGAGTCCCTACAGGATGAGGCTTAAAGCTGATTTACACTAGAAAGGTTAATATAGAAATTACACTAACAAGACTCCTCTTCCCAAGCAACTTCCACCTATCCCTCAAGAGAAGTAAAATGTACAGGTAAAAGAACTTCTTATGCAGCTTCTGCACTAGGGTTTTTGCTGGCATAGCTATGTCAGCAAAAAATTCACATCCCTCCCTGACAGGCTTCCTTGATAACACTTTCAAGTGCAAACCAGGTGCCAGTATTTCTGTTATGACAGAAAAAGAGTTCTACACTAGTCATGAGCTGAATACT